GACCGTCCTCCTCCCTGGTGTCTGGTGGAGTCCTTGCTGACAGGGACCCCCAGCTGCGGCAGCTGCTGTGCTCCGCTTCCCGAGGCGGAGCTGGAGTGAACCGAGGTGGGGGAGACCCTCACGCCCCCACCCCAGCTGCTGGGGAGCTCTTCACGTGGTCTTGGAGTCGGCTGTGCTGGGGGCTCCCACCCTGGGGTGCTGCGTTCCAGGAAGCAGGTGCACAGGGGTGCCATGGGGCGGAGAAGACCGTGTTGGCCTGGGACGTGGCTGTGGTCTGTGATGCTCAAGGGCACCCTGACCAGGACCGCGTCCCCCCGCGGTGGAGAACGCAGTGGGATGGTGGCGGACACCACTGTGGGGGCGCCGCAGGGCCTACGCCCACGTGACCCACGTCATATGACCCCGCCCCGACGTGCTGTCACCGGGAGGGTGCCCAGGCACTGAGGTTCAGAAACCCGCTACGGCCGTGGGGGAGGCTGGCGCTCCAGGAGACAGGGTCCCTGTGCCGCGTCCTGGCTCCGGACCTCGTGGCCCTCAGCAGGGAGGGAGGGCCCTGTGGTCAGGGTGGGTGCAGCAGCGTCTGCTGGGGCCTGTGCACGTGGGGGGGTCCATTGGCCCCGCATCAGCCCCGTTCACTAAGGGACAGTCACCTCGGCAGGGCACGGCCGGGCCCAGGGCCTGTGCTACTCCAGATAGAATGTGGGACACCGCGGCACAAACTGTCCTTAGCTTCACGGCTCCCCGGCCTGGCCGGCCTGGACCAATGACGGAGCAGAGCCCTGGCACCCCGCCACCCTGCCGTGACCGTCTGTCCAGGGTGCAGACCTGGTGGGGGAGGTGGCCCTGTGCTCATCACACTCACTCCCAAAATTCAGAGCCTGGACTGGTGGCACTGTCACATCCGGCCCACGTACCCCACCAGCAGGAGGAACCCGGACAGTCCTCGATGACGTCACCGACACCCTTCGATGGCTCTGGGGAGCCCGCACAAGGCTCTTCCATCCTCCTCCTGCTTCTGCACAGGTCGTCCCCATCCTTCCATGTCCTGCACTCATCTGTGCCACAGGAGAGGCCGGGCTCCACAGAGACAGCAGCCTGTCGCCATCCAGATGCCAGCGTCAAGACAGAGGTGACTCCAGACACACGTGCCCCTGCCGGTGGATTTCAGTCCCAGTGGAAGAGTCGGCTTCGGGAGCCGTGCTGACCATCAATCCAACATTCGCTGACCAGAGGGCTCTGGTGAGCACGGACATGCATCGCCAGGAGGTCCCAGGT